CATCCGTGCATCAAGAGATGTAGCTCCATGAATCAGAATGCAGATCTCTGTTTAAATGCATATAGGTATAAACCTTGCTTGTTCTCTTGTCTGCCTGCATGCTTGTTACAAATACATTTCTTAAAGGAAAAAAGTATTAAGCTAACTTTTAGCTCTGTTCAGAATAAATTCATTCACAACTGCTTGCCAAAATGCTTATTCTTTCCAAGAAACTGCATTTTAAAGAATATATTTTGGTGTTCTGCCAGTTATATGTAATTTTTTAAATATGCAGCACAGAAATAGCATACTGTACATAAATAATCTAGGGAAAAATAATTTCCATTGAAGGCACTCTGAAAGGCTTTAAGGTGTGTATTATAAATGTAAAAAAAAATGTAAGTTGGATAGATTTCATATGCCTCACATAACTGCATAATGACAACATATGTGGGACAGGCCATTTAACAGCACAGGCCATTTTTATCTTTTTAACTTCCAAAAGTATTACTAAAGAAACTAGTGAATCTGGATTCCTGAATTCAATAAGAATTTAGCCAGATTAACACTTGAACTTTGTTTTTGTTTTTACATCATTTTTCAGAATATTAGTCCTTTCTTTTCTTTCCTCAGTACTTCTTCTGTACCTTTTAACAATTCCAAACAGCTCTCTAACAGGCATTTGCCATTTTTATCTGTATATACACACCCAGATGATAGATGATGAGGTTGTCATCAATTACTGAGTCTTTGAGAGGTACTAGAGCACAACGTTTAGTACCTTTAATAAATAAATAAATAAATAAATCTTGTTTGTATTGCAACACCATAATCAGGATAAGCAAAGAGCTTTGTGTGCACCACATAGATCCAAAAGTAGAGTCTTCCACACACTGGGGAATGCTATCCTAGAGAGAGGGAAAGGACAGAAATAGAGTAGGTGCATCTGCTGTTTTTCAGTAAAGTTTAGTACAAAAGTTTGCTATTGTTACATGTCTACTAAAGGAGACAGCTTTAATGCTGCATTTGGTTCTTCCCTGTTCACTACACACTTTTCACTCAGCACATCATTAGCACTGTGAAGCTAAAATGAGTCATTTCCTCTCTGCTGGCCTTTCCATTAAAGACTTCTTACGCTATTTCTTGCTTTCACAGAGATCTTAGTAAAAGATATACACCACGTTAGCCTCATGAAAAAAAAAATGAAAAAAATAAACATATCTTTAGGCAGACACATGAATTACCAATATAAACTGACCCATTGCAACTACTAGAAGGGTTTGAACAAAAACCCCATCTATTCACCGCAGGGTGACAAGGCTGGCCTTGGGTGACTAAGCCGCAATACTGTCATTAATGATATGGTACCCTGATGTCATTCTCAACATTCTCAACACTCCATCAACAGCATTTTAAAAATGTTTTTCCCCAGTATTACTTTTACTCTTAATTCCACTATAAATTTTTAATGGGTTCTTTAAACTAGTGATGAAACAATGTTAATGAGGAAATCATTCTTTCACAATACAGACTTTTCAACTACCTAATTGGTCTAAGAGAATATTGATTTTAACTTACCTATACCTGTTTATATTGCCTGAAAATCTTTCCCAGGTTTCTATTTCTATAAAGTCACATAAGCATCCTTTTTCCTGTTAATATTTCAAACCATGCAGCCACCACTAAGGGACAGGCAACAACTCATTAGCAAGGTGTGAGTGTCAATAAAATTAATTAAACTGTTCTCCTAGTCTTAAATCTAGAGCACTCTTGTTTTCTTGATGCCAAGTCAGGAAAGTATTACTGCCTAAATGAACTGAGAAGCTCATCGTGGCAGTTTTCCATATTTCAAGAGCAGAGACAAGGCTTGAAACAGGCTTCACATATGGCCAAAAATAACCAGATAATTTAATGCAAATGATGGCTCTGAAATCAAGGAAACTTTCATTCCTTTTTTGGTCCCTAAAGAGTAAACATGCCTTTTTAAAGGGGAATAGAAGAAAGACTTTCTTCACTGAAACACCAAATTCTAATATTTTTGATGAGCCACTTTTAAACAATCTTTTCAGAGAATGAAAACCTTTGCAGAAAACTTCACTAAATTCTACATTTGTTTTGTCCAAAAAGAAGAAAAATTATGTACATCAGAAGTATGCTTAAGCTCCTTTTCAGTATCCAAACACCTTAGCATCTTTCTCATTTAAAGAAAATTTTGGCCATATCTAAATATAGGCATCAGCCCCATTCTGCAAGTCTTGAGAGATAAATTTATTTTATCACATAAGCTATGAAGGATTACACAAGAAGTCTGTTCATCATAGCAGTAGCTAAAAAAATTCTTAAACTTTGACTAATATTTGAAATTGTGAAAGAATACAACTGAGCAAACAATTCCTCAAACCAGAAACAAACAACAAATACAAAAAATAATAAAAAGGAGTTGTTAACTTTCAGGACAGGTATATAATGTAAAGTATTATCTTGCTGTACGTGTTGCAAGCTTGGAACCTGCTTACATGTTGTCAATATTTAGAAAAAAAAAACCACATGGTTGTCATGCTGCTGTATATTTTTTCAGGGATTCACAAAAAAAAATCTTTAGTACCACTTAATAACATGATACTTCTAAAGACTCTGCAGAAAAGGAGGTGAGACGTGAGACTAACATGCCTTTTAGATTAATAAAATTATTTAGGTTGGAAAAGACCCATGCAATCACCAAGTCCAATCAACAAACTAGCCCTAGTAAGTGCACCATTAAACCATATCCCTAAGCACCACATCCACACATCTCTTAAACACCTCCAGAGATGGCAACTCCACCACTTCCCTGGGCAGCCTATTCTGATGTCTACTGCCCTCACTGTGAAGAAATTATTCCTGATATTCAATTTAAACCTCTCCTGGTGCAACCTGAGAGCATTTCCTCATTTCTTCCCACTTGTCACCTGAGAAAAGAGACTAACAGCCTCCTCACTACAACCTCCTTTCAGATAGTCATAGACAGTGATGGAGGTATCCTTCCCAGCCTCTTTTTCTCCTGACTAAACAGCCTCGGTTCCCTCAGCCACTCCTCAAAACTCTTGTTTTCTGACTAGAAAACTCTAGTTCTTCTCTGTACACTCTTCTCTGCACATCCTTGAGCAACTCAATATCTTTCTTTTAGTGAAGGGACCAAAACAAAACATGGTACTCAAGGTGCGGCCTCACGAGAGCCAAGTATAAGGGGATGATGACTTCCCTAGTCCAGCTGGCCACACTATTTCTCATACAAGCCAAGTGCAGCACCTTGCACTTTTCCTCATTGACTATCATGTATTTGGACAAGGTCCATCGATACAGCCTATCCAGATCCCTCTGCTGAGCTTTCCTACACTCAAGCAGATCAACATCTCCACTCAACTTGGTACTGTCCATGCATTTACTGAGGGTGCACTTGATCCCCTCATCAAGATCACTGAAATATTAAACAAAACCGGCCCCAATTGTTGTGTGTTTTCCAATCCTCCCCTACCTTCCTTAGGATTGTAAATATTAAGATCTTCAATTACTTCAAAACCAACACTTTGAAATAGTTCAACTGGAGGAAGACCTTCCTTGAGTTTTAAGAGCTTATTTTATCAGAACGAGTGAGATACAAGGTCTATAAACCTTATTTCATCTATTTACAATTACAGTACATGCCTGTGGAATGGTAGGCCTTATCCAAATATAAGCAGGACCATTAACTGGTAACAGCACCTTTCTCCATTACAAATGGAAGTGTATACATTTATTTAGGGATTTAATTTTCCCTAAATAAAACATAATTCTGAATAAAGCTTAGACAAATGTCAAGATTTACTTCCATTTTGAGATGGATGCCATGCTGCATATCTATTGGCATTGCCCTCTAAAAATCAGTGTACATAACCACTGTCTGGGTGTTAGATTCATCCCACAGAATGCTCACATTTAATTTACCTCCATTTCTGTGTGTCAGAACTAAGCTCTCTTCTCCTGCCCACAGTCTGACCACAGAGCTGGGCTTTCTGCACTGGTGAATGTTGATTACAATCAGCAGCGGTGCTGTCTGCATACCTGTTACTACATGTGCTGGCGGAAAGTGAGTTAAAGTAAAGAAGAAACTATGACCTATCTTCTGGGGCTAGCATTGGACCAACTGTACTTAAACAAGGCCTAACTAAGGAAAGGTGATTCTAACTACTAATATTATTAAGATGCATGACTATCCTAACTTTTCACTTAACACCAAAGAGTGCCACTTCCATAAATCAGGCTACATATTTAAAGGCCTGTCAACAGAACAACTGACACTAGAAAATACTGACCGTATTTCCCAAAGAGTCTCAAAACTAATGGGAGCAAGACACACTTCTTGTTATTTGTATCGCTACCATAAAAACTTCCTCCTCTGTGCAGACAGAGAGTTAAAGAATGAAGTACTACCAATACAGAAGAAAAATGCTTGCTTGCTTGCACACATGGTATGATCTTCCAATGAGAGAAGGGGAAAAAAAGGAGAGACAAGAAGATACGAGACAAGACAAAATGAGAGAAGAAGACCAGATATCAGGTACATGAGAACTGATCAGATATCAGGTACATATGAACTAATATTCTTCATTCATTCAATATTTTTCAGAAAACAGACATGACACAATGACAGATCCTAATCACTGCCACACCGCGCTACAATCGGACTGAAAAACTAAAACATAAAGTTTAATTAATTACTAAGGCTTGAAGTGGTCAAGAGCCTGATATGGTACTTTATCTGCCAAATGTTCAACTACAGAGAGATTGAAAACAGTCAGTTTACAACAACTGAAATCTAGGTCTGGAAAAAGTAAAAGAATCCTTGAATTCTTGGCACAGGTAATTTCCACAGAATGACATGGAGATTACAGACAGACATGGTTTATGTGTTTTTACATCCTTTCAAAAATCATGCATTCACTAAACTGTATCTCTAATTATGAAATAACTGAAACTACTTTGCTGTAGAAAATATATTTCACCTTCTTGAAGCTGGACTGGTTCTGCTGAGTTTTCACCACTCATTAAAACAACAAAGCTTGCAGCTGTTCGGACTGATGCTTGCCACGTTGACAAGGCAATGGGTGGTTCTTGGCAAGGGAAAAGAGCTCTGTTGTTTATTGGTGATCCCATCGTATAAACGCATGGCCTAAATTGAAGGAATAGAGATTGAAGTTAGAGTTACAATAAGGAAGACTGAATTAAGTTTTCTGTCAAAAATGAAACATATTGTTGTACTGCTTTTACATTTAACCTTCTCAGCTATGTAGATATCAAAACAGTATGACATGAACCAACCAAATTCTCATCTAAGCCGTTTAAGAGAGAATGAAGGAAAGCAGAATTACTACAGTAATTTTTGCCCATACAACAAAAGAATAACTCTAAGTATTTCCCTCTTCCACATGAGGAAATATTTTCCAGCCTCATACAATAGCTCTACACTGGAACCGCAAGACCAAGGAATTTTCTTGAGTATCTTCTACAGATGCCATTGTAGTCTTCACCAGCATCTGTGACACACTGTTGTCATCACACTAGTGCTTTCATTACCATTAATCCCATCTCTCTGTACAACCTGGTGGCTTGTCCAGACTTAGAGCAATAGATCTAGCACTGAGCCTCATGCAGTCACGGCCTCCATAAAACTGGACATTTTTGCATTTCTTACTGTAATTAAGGAAATGCATGCTAAGTCAGCTGCCTTGCAGGGTTCCAACCACAGCACAGGTAATGAAAAGGATGTATTTCTTTCATATCAGCCTCAGCTTCTCTCAATTTTTCCATATAGTGATCTTCATTGTGGTATTGATCTTTCTGCAGTTTCTCCAGCCTTCTCACTGTTGCACCCTCTTCATCTGTTGCCCCTTTGCTATCTCAACAATATTTCTATTTTGCAATGGCTAAGATCTGAGCATCTTCTTTACTTCTCCCCAGATAATACCTCCATTCAAATAATTCCTTCCCTAAAGCCAAGTCTCAACCACACAGAAGGAAAGAATATGAAAATATTACTTCTACAGCTTTTTTTTTCTCTTCCTTTTCTAAGGGTTACCTGTGCTATTGGATCCAGAGTTGTCCATGGTACAACCAAGTTTCTATAGCCTAATTAACACATGCCAACTCAGTTGCTTCAAGTTTCTGTATGTGTGCTCTTAACCCACAGCAAACACAACATATTTAAAGGCAGTGTACATTGATGTGTTTTACATTAGATTTGTAACAAGCATACTGTCTGTCTCACAACTGTGAGACCAAGAGCAAGTGAGTCAGTTCCTATGATTTCAACCTGAAGAAATTACAGAGGAAAATGTTACAACTTGGAAAAGGGGCTGGCAGAACAACACCGAACAGAATGTTGTAATGCTGTGCTTAAATGCTAGCAGAGGTTAAAACTCACAGTGCAGAGAAGGGGATGAGATATTTTGGGCTGTAAACAAGCATGTATGTCATATATCATCACATTGTAAAAAACAGAATGAACAGATGTATGTAGAAATAAAAAAAAGAATGATCAATATTAACATTCTAAGTGCCCAAGCCTCACATAGGTAAGAGCATATCAGTTATCAGAATTCAGAAAAATACTGAATAAAGCTCAATTTTTAAATATATATTATTTCAGTGTTGGGAGACTGGGAACCCAGAGTCAAATATAACACAAGCAACACAGAACAGATGTTATTTATACTATTAATATTACCTCATTCTCAGAGAGCATTTTAACCTGCAGACCATAATGTTTTACAAATTAACAGAGTTTTAGGGGTGGGAAAAGGGAAATGAGTGAATGGTCACTTAGTGGCCACTGGACCTACAAACTTAGTTTCAAGCCTCTTAGTCAGTTTACATAACATAATAATAATAATGTATTACATAAATAACCTTTTTCCTTAAATATTTTAGGGCTGAAAGAGACGCATAGGCAGGTCACAAGTCCCTATAGGGCCCAAGGAGAAACTGAGTTAGAATGGTGGAGAAAGACTGGTCAAATACCTGATTTGTTTTCAAAACTGTCCTTTCCACTTCCCATCTATGGAAAATATTATTTTTGTCCAGAGGTACTTATTATCTTCATTACTTAAAATGAAAATTTATTCAAAATGTCAAAGTCTGCTAAGAAAACAGCAATGAAACATACAAAAGCATTCTGAATTTTGTGAGGAAACTATCAGAACAGTGATTACATCAGCTTCTAATTAGACATTCATATATTCATGGCTAGAGCGCCTGGAGACTTGCTGATTGATAGTATGCCATCAACTGAGATGTCAGCTAACACCGAACAGTCTGCTGTTCTGCTTTGGAGAGGAAGTTTTATAAGATGAACTGATGATTATGGAGAATTATCTTTTCTTCCTTCACTGGAATTTTCTTAATCTATTTTCTTCTCACCCTAAAACATACCTCCACAGATTTTATTGTTTCTCCTGAGGAATCTTGTTTTACTTTGCTTTTTTTTTATACTTCATTTACAGTAATAATGTAACAACATTGGTAACACCAGAGTGTTACTTTAGGATGCCCATTGCAGCTGGCAGCTTTCTCTGTTCTAGGCTAGGCAGCACAATTCCAGCAAAAAGAGTATCAGAAAGAAAATTCTTACCCTGATACGGATTTCCTTCCATCTGATACTGAAGAAAAATTACTAGCTAGCCAAGGTACATCAAAGAATATCAGGGACAAATAACCAGTTTCGGACTGTTTCCATCAATAGATACAAACTTTGCTTTTTCCTGATTTATTGTTACCACTACTAGTAAGAAACTTCACAGTTCCTCTTTTTTTTCAGTCTTTTTTTTTTTCTCTATTCTCTCCACCTTTCTTCTTTTAGTTTTTGTGGTCTGGAAACATTCAAATCATGCACTTAGGTAACATGTTGTTATGCCAACCATAATCTTTGCCACTACTGGTTGGAAGAGATAAGAAAATCAAATACAGCACAAATAAGCTAAGCAGAGAACTCAGGCTGTTTGTCTGATTAGCTGTTACAATGGAAAGACTAGCATCCACAAAACAAAGCAGGTCACAGGTCACTCATCCAGCAAACTTTATGACTAGTAATTCCCTGTGACTGACAATCCAGACCAATGGAGAAATCAAGCAGTAATTGTGATATTCTTTGGTTCTGCCCCATGATGAGACATGGGGCTCTGCGTTGTGCAGTAATCTCCCAGAGGCAAGGTTTCTGAGGAAAAATTGATTCCTTCAACTCTAACTCATCAGTATTCTGTATGTTGTCATAACATAACATAACCAGCTCAAACCAGCTCTTGGCAGATCTCCCTTTCCCATGTAGGAATATGTGTTTAATACCAAATTAAGCTACTACAAGCTAATAATAGCACTAATACTCTGTTCTCTGAACAGGAATCCTTAGGTATTCTCTGAGGCACCTTAAAACACCTGAACCACATTCAAAGGCTCAGCCATCTCAACACGCTCTGGTTACTGTCTGTTTGAAGCTTTCTCAAGGAAAATGTCCAGCTCAGCAAACCTGTGCACTTGTTGTATTTGGAGAAAGGGACACCTATTTCTTCAGAAGTTGTCTGCAAGTAAGGTGGCAGCCTCTAGCAATTTTAAGGCTACTCTTAAGACTGCTCCTTGCGGCTGTTTCTTATTCTAAATGACACGATGTCATTTCCATGAAGCAGCAGGGCTTCCTGCCACCTAAATCATACCAACTTATCTCTTTACACAGTTGTGAGTTGCCAGTGATTGCCATCAGACTCCAACAGACCAGGCATTCTTGTTTTCATTTTTCTGTTGAACAAAACACCAGTCAGCAACTATCCATGCCTTTTACAAACTGTTCTCCAGTTTAAAAGTAGCAAATATGCTTATGAGATGAGGGATTCCACAGACGTTTCCAGCAACCTCTGGTACTGTGATTCTGTTTTTCCAACAGCTGGATGGCTAAATTTCTAAACCAACCTTTCAGAGCAAATTTCTTGGACCTGTGCCAACTAACTTGTGGTCTGCATCAGATATATCAAAGATATATCTAGATATATCTAGACGTACTTTGCAAAATCTCCTGTTGAAAAGTTGTATCTTTTGGTATAGTAATCAGTAGAAAGCAAGGACGACAAGGTTAATACAGGACATATTTTTCTCTTCAAAGGTGCTATGTATATTTTTAGACAGTTTTTATGTATTCCTTACTGTATTCAACATAATACATAAGAAAGTCTGATTGACTACAGTACCAAAGAAAAGTACCAAATTAAATGCTTTACCTCATGATCATCAATAAGAATCCTTATTTGCTAAAATATTACTGTGGGATTCTGTCTCCAGCATGGCAGCACTGCTGATGCAACACTGCCACATACTCCTAAGAGTTAGGCAAACCTGCTGAAGCACCTTGATGGGCTGACACCAAGTTTCTCCTTCTCAGTAATTAAATATGTTTTATACATACTGCAAGGGCGTATACATTAGTATGGTGCCAAAAGTAGGTTTTTATTTTAAAACATTTCTATATTTAATAAATATAAAAGTGAGAATACTTCAAACACAAGTATAATTTTTGTTAAAATTGCAACATTACCTTCTTAGTTTGAAACACAGATGCTGTATTATGCTAATAAACAATTGAAAAGCTTTGAAACAGAACTGTTTTCTCTCTCTTTTTTTTTTTTCATGGTAAATATGTTACACATAATATACCAAATATTTTTTATTATTATTATTCCTGTTTTAATAATAATGTTATTAATCATTATTAAAAATTACCTGCCAATTTTAAGAACTGACACACCGCCTATAATTTCAGATTTTGGAGAGACAAGAATCTCTCCAAATGTATATTTGGAGCATCTACACATGCTTACCCACGTTATTCACTATTTCTGTTTTGTCCTTTTATTAATACTTCTGCATAAAGGCACAGAGAAGTTTTTATTACAAAAAATCTTGTCCAAGGCCTAAATAGCACTTCCACTCTTGATCATAAAAATATTTTTTAGTATCAAAGAACAGACAGGGAAATGCTGAAATTCTGTGTGTTCAGCTCCTGCCTTCACTGAAAACAGAAGCGTACCCTGATGGGTTTACATCAGCGTAGCATATGATATGCCTAAACGCACCTCACAAAGCTTTGTCATAACAGATAACTTTGTGAATTATAATTCAAGCATAGTTTAAAATAAATAAAATGCAAGTCTTCATAAAATGGTTAGCACATAGGGTAAATTTCCAAACACTTGAACTAGAGCTAAATTAGAGGAAATGCATTGAAGTGGCCACACAATGCTTGTGCTTTGTTGTTCATTTTACTTTGCTTTCTTTGAGGTTGGAACCACAGATTATAGGCTCCTTTGGGAAATGATTTGACTTTTACCTAAAAAAGCACACATACTTTGGAACAATTTATAGAATTCCCCTATGAGAATAAAATTTAATAGTACTTCTCCCATATATTGAAAATGGGTTTTATTTTAGAAAAGAAAAGAAAAATATGACCACATTTTGTAGAATGAGGTTTACCACTATATTTATGTGTTCATCATGTACAGAAATTGATTTTAGAAAATGCAGCGAGAAGGATTCTAACGACTGTGACATAAAAACTTATTTTCTGATAGGTACTAATTTCTCAAATACTCTACAAAAGGCAGAAATTAAAACAGCTTGAGACTATCTAACAGCAACTATCAGACTTCCTAACCCATGCCAATCCATCTTTTCCTGCTTCATTATTGATTCATAAAATATCGTGTGTTTGTGTTAAACTGGCATGAACTGTCTCTAAAGAAAGCATAACATTTTGCAGTGAAAGGAAAAAGAAGTCAAAACTAAAAGAGTTAGTGATTTAGATGTTTTAAAAAAGACCCTGAAATAAGAATTTTCATGAGGCAACACACAGAAGATTTCTATGCCAGCTAAGTGTTGCTAACATTAGTCTCAAAGACTTTAGCAAAGACCAGGGAGACTTTGACAAACTGCATGATTACAGGCAATTGCCCTCCATTTGCGTGTCTGAGTCAAAATTCAGAATTTTCATAACTAAAGATACTATATAGAGTTAAACTTCCTACACTAATACCATAAATAACTTCCTGGGGAGTGAGTAGAGGAGGGGAAGGGGAATAGGTAATGAACATGACTGACAAACTCCTGGGCTTGATGCTGATCATGGTTTACCAGTAGAATTACTTAAAAATACCAGACAATGCAGTTTAAAGGCTTCATTTTCTTCCCTAACACGGCTATCAGTGAGAAGACTCTTAATTTACATTAGCATAACTGAAATGAAAGGTAAGCATTCATCTCTACTTTGGGAGTGAAAAGCAAGTGTTCAATTAGACACAATTTCTTCATCTTTCAACTTTGCTCATGGTTTCTAGATATCATAGACTAAAGAAATAACAGACATTAAAATCCACCTTTGAGCATTACAGTAAAGCAATATTAACCACTGTGTAAGTCAAGAATAGATAGTAGTTTCCCTCCTGTAAAGATCTTATCTTGAAGATTTCTGTATAGCACTGTGTACATTCATAAAAGCCAGATTTAGAAAAAAAAATCCTCTTACACTTTGCTATCATCAATTTATTTCACATAATAGATGAAGGAGATTTTAAAAGTTGATTACGAGAGACTAAACAGGAAAAGACTGCATCTCTAAACTTATTACAATATTGACAAAAGACTAGTTGTAAAGCAATTCTATTAATTATTATGTATATTGATCTTTATGCTGTATGATCACTTGTTTAAGCCAGGAAGAAAAGGGAACATAAAGTGTACGAATGAAAATAACCTGTCATGTATATCTTCTCTTTCCAAAGTAATAATTCCCTATTCCCTAAACACACTTATTCCAACGCAACAACAACATTTACTCCCACTCATTATGAGAAAACACAATCATTTAGACAGGCTTGAGCTCTGCAAGTGCTTGAGCACAGTTTATCTGTTCTCCTATAGGACAGCAATAGGGTTCAAAACAAAGACAAAACAGATACAATGGAAGAGAACACTCATCATCTTCGCAGAGCTGCTCAGCATTACACAACTGCACATTCTTGCATCTAGGTTTAAAATTAATGTGTGCAAAGCCTTTGAGATAAGTCACGTACCTGCCGCTCTGGTCTGTAGTCCATGTAACAGATCTTCCCTCTGGTTTGGTTTTGTACTGTATTCTAATTGCGTGAGGGAAGTCTGCTGGAGTCCGAATTCCTGATTTCCTTATCTCCAAGCTCCAAGTGCCAGTAGCAAACAGAAGCTCTCCACAGCCAGGTGCCTGGCTGCAGCAAGTGTAATAGTATAGCTGTTCCTTCCAGCGATCCGAAGGTAAAGTCACAAGTTCATGTACAATCTGATTCCTGAGATTTGCCAGCTCCTTTGAAACATCAGTTAGTTTGGCAGACCTTGTGAATTTTTCAATGCCTGACACAGCAGCAACATCTACCTCCTCAACCTTTAGCACAGACAAATCACAGCAGTCCAACACCAGCAGAAAATCCTCGTTCCCATGATTCTCTATGTCACAGCAGTTCTTTGAACTAGAAATCCCAGAAGCCTGTTCCTCGTTGCTATGGTTACCATTTTTATCAGAAGTATCTTTTTCACCTTTACCACAGACAGCAAAATCATTATATTCCATTTTAGATGAACAGGCACTTGCATTTGACACAGGGACGTGGCCTTGTTCCGATGCCCTAATTTTGCAGGTTTCATCAAACTGTGACTGGCAGCCTTCCTCTCCAGTACTGCTGGCTCTCCTGTACCTGCTCCCAGTCTCCAAGAACAGAACTATGAAGCCTTCAATAACTTGACTTTTAAAATCTACGTCCAAGTCCAATACATAGTGCTTTACAAGCATGTGGCTAGTGTTGGCCATTAAGGGCAGGTCATCCTTCATGGGGTCTAGCTGCGGCTCCATGTTCCAGTCTGCTGGGCAGCTTTAAAAAACCTTGGCCAGTTCTTACTTATGATGCCTCCACAAAGACCAAGGATACTCAGCCTTCCAGTGTCAAAAACATTAATATTACTTTGTAGAAATTAATTGCAGTTCCTCCACTCCTCTCATTCTGCGAAGGAAAACAAAAACATATCACATAATTATTTCACAACTGTTTCTGAAACAAGCATTTTGAGAAATTATTTAAAGTTCAGTTGCTTTTATTAAAAATAGTTCCACAGAATGAGATCAAGCTAGTTGCTTCTGAATTTGCCATCAAGAAGGCTTTAGTTTTCCCAAGTTAATGTATTTCTAGTCAGCTTTTATAAACTGACACACTTTAATAAAGTCCTTCTGTCGACTCTCTACACCCCCAAAAATACTTTAGAAAAAATACATAATTATGCAACATCTAACTTTATTTATTACTACATTGTTTGTTTTTAAGATTTTTGCATTTATTTCAAGTGCCTTAGCTGAAAAGATAGTGATCATTTTTCTACTGTGATTCTACACAACAAATATGAGCCTAAATCCCTACATACGTTTTAAATTTTGGAAGTAATAACCTAATATATACAAGGCAAGAGTATGGATTAATAAACTATCCACATTACAACCACTCTTGTATCAGCAATTCTAGTAAATTGAAAGAAAACAAGCCCGTTTACTATGAGGGCATTCTAAGCATTCCTTTGAGATTGTTCATGAAGATTTTTTGAATTTATAGTTATATTCTTAAGATATATCACTACATCTTAATAGCTGAAAACCCATTAACACTTGAGATAATAGCATCTTACAGAAAACAAAAGGTCTTTCCACTGGAAAATATGCAAAAACCTACAAAAGAAAATATTAAAATGCGTCAACATTTTTATTTGCAACGACAGGCAAAAGTTCATCATGGAAGTTTAACTGTCATGCATTCTGTTTCGCTATGGCCACTGAGCTAAAATTACACACTCTTATCTCACTTCAGTACTTTTTTGACTACTTTCTAGAGCAGAATTAGAAATCAGAGAAAGGAAGAAGCAATTTCATGTTAAGACTCGCAGTTCTCTCTCTGCCAGGTTAGTGACACAGAGTTGATATACAGCCAAGTCTGGTTTTAAGTGTCTTCAGTGAACAGATATCAGCTCGTGCCATTTTAGTTTCACAGTGTTGTCACCGACTACAGTGTCCAAAATATTTTTTTTTTTTGGAGTTCTCAAGAAGGAAAACCTAGATTCCCTCAAGATTTGCTAACTCTTTTGTAAGAATCCAGAGCATGCTATCAAGCTAGCATCCATAACTGAAAGATTCAGGACAAGAAATCACCTAACTGTTCCCTGAACTGGCTTCACCATCCTGGTTTCAGCTGGGGTAGAGTTCTTTTTCCCGCTAGTAGCTGTTATGGAGCCGTGTCTGGGATTTAGGATGAGAACAGTGTTGATAACACACTGTTGCAGGGCAGTGCTTACACTACGCCAAGCTCCTCACACCGCCCTGCCAGCGGGGAGGCTGTGGGTGCAGCAGGAGCTGGGAGGGGGCCAAACCAGGACAGCTGACCCGGAGTGGCCAAAGGGATGCTCCATACCATATGGCACTGTGCTGAGCGATTCATATGGGGGGGCTGGCTGGGGTGGGGGAACTGCTCCTCGGTCAGCAGGTGGTGAGCGACTGCATTGTGCATTACTTGTTTTGTACATATTATTATTATTATTATTATAAGCTTTTACTCCCTCCCCGATCTCTCCCCCATCGCACTGGGGGGTGAGGGGATGTGAGCGAATGGCTGTGTGGTGCTGAGCTGCCTGCTGGGTTAAACCACAACGCTTCACACAAAGCACAGCAAACATCTTCCTTCTTTGACTGCTTTCCACCACTCAGAAACAGCTCTAACAGGGATGTCTTTGAAGACAAGCAGAGAAAAATCTTTTTCTTTTTTTCTTTTCTTTTCTTTTCTTTTCTTTTCTTTTCTTTTCTTTTCTTTTCTTTTCTTTTCTTTTCTTTTCTTTTCTTTCTTTTCTTTTCTTTTTTCTTTTCTTTTCTTTTCTTTTCTTTTCTTTTCTTTCTTTTCTTTTCTTTTCTTTTCTTTTCTTTTCTTTTCTTTTCTTTTCTTTTCTTTTCTTTTCTTTTCTTTTCTTTTCTTTTCTTTTCTTTTCTTTTCTTTTCTTTTCTTTTTTCTTTTCTTTTTTCTATCATTCCTCCTACAAATATCCCAGTAAATCAGTAGATTCAGAATGATTTGAAGATGACCTGATAAAGACACTCATGGCATTTTTGGAACTACCTCCAATAGATAATTCTCTATTCAAGAGATTTCCCAAACTTCTCTGAATTTAATCATATTCTTATTAATCTTAACAGTTTACTATTTCTAGTGCTTCAAACTTCACATATTTGCAAGAAATCACATTGCATCTTGCACTGATGTTTAAGTCGGAGAATGCTTCTAGAATTCAGCCTTTGTCAGGATCGAAAAACAGATTCATGGGCTCCTGCAGAGTCTCATTAGCTTTGCAAAGATGACTTATCTTTGCAGATAACTGTGTGGATGTTAATCTGTTTTGTCAGCTTGACTTAAAATAAGCAAACAAATAAATAAACAAAAACAGATAAAAGTGAAGCATTAAGTTCCCTGAAATGTATATAAGCTAACATTATAATAGCTATTGCTTTCTACTTAAAGAAGTTTGGAAATGGAGGAAAAATATCAGTCGGAAAAAAAAAAGCACTTAGGAAGACTAGTAAGAAAAGCTGAGACAAGTTTCAGTAAACCTCAGCTTTCTGAACAAGAAACATCTATAAATAGTACATGGCCATTAAAACCATTTCCTGCCTTAAAACCTAATTGGAAAAATTGGCAGAGCAATCAAAGGTTCTAAATGCTGTGATGTGAGGAATACATCTATGATGTCTGTGCCTGACACAAGGGATCAAACTTGATGTTATCTGAATGTTTTATGATTACCAAAACCCTGTGACTTCTGACAGGTTAACTAAGCACTGGTGGTAAAGCAAAGAAATAAGATAACTTTATAGAAAAAAACATACTGAACTGGCATTCAAGAACCTCCGTTTTGCACAAATAGACTTTCTCATTTGAAAAACAGGTGCAATATTGCTACTTTTTATAAAACTTAAGTACTATACTAACAAATTTTTATGCTATATTCATAACAGATGTTTATATCCCTGTTTTTCTGTTTTCTGTTTGGAAAGTGTTATCAATTTCTTACCTCGAAAGTATCAAGATAATTACATTAACTTGCATTAAATTCACAGGCCCATAATTGGAAAAACACCTGAACTCTGAACACCTTAAAATAAATACTAGATGTGCAGCTCACTACCTACACAAAAGCATTTAGTTTGTATTTAGAGGACTTATTTAAAATTAATTAACAGGGTAGACTAAAAAGTACCAAATAGGACCATACAGGTGAACTCAATCAGAAAAATAATATTAATAATAAATTGAAGCATGATAAAATAAAATAAAATCTATAAATACAAATCCTCTTTAAAACTATTAATACAAAAACACAGACAATTGAAAACAAAGGTTGGCTGTCCTAATGATGCTAGAAGACCTGCAGAGAGGACAGTCATTTTCTACAATGGAAAGTTTCAGGTCAGCATTTCTTTGTTTATTGGAGATGATACATCTCACCACATTTATGAACAGAGTAGGGGAAACACATTTGTAGATAAGTAACAAGTACTATTGTGTATATTTGACATGGAATTTTAATTCAATTGTAACACTGTCTATTTAGTCTTGTCTATTTCTCAAATCACCTTAACTTTAGACATCCCATCTTTCAAAAGTTGCACATATCCTTTCTAGCTATAGAAAGCCTCAACTAGGAAACATAGCCTCAACTAGCTATATTTTTTCACTGCATGTTGATAATTTCATATTGATACTGAATTAGAAAAAAGTGCTGTCTTCTGTGCAAAATGTACTCCTGTTAAGAATGGTAATTTTACTCCTCCAGTAAAGCTTCATACTGGAAATTGCAACCCACAAAGTGAGGTGGTGTCTCACGTAATTTGAGATGGTCCTATTTAGAGCTCTCTTAACTAGGAAAGAAACTGAACTTATGCACTGCGTTTTAAAACAAGGCAATGGTGTGTGTGTTTAATTTAAATATTAATTTTACAATAATTCCACCAATTTTAGCTTTTTAAAGGTAGGCGTGGCATTATGAAGGTACAGAGAACTACACTAATCAACTGTGGAGTTTCTAAAGATACAGATTTCAGATGGCATAATCTCCAGCAACAGATGGAAAATGACATTAAAAAGAATGCTGAAGTTGAAGGAAGCATATGACTCTGACCTTGTTTGACAGTCTCGGCACACACACCCTTAGTGTGAATTTCTGGCTACGTGATGACTATGGAAGGGATGCCTGTACTCTGCAGTGTACCTGTGTCTAGCTGAACTGAACGTATTTGCTCATAGCTTCATCATTTGTATTTTCAATATCTAATTGTAAACACACACTGAATTCAGAAGAGGGAAAAAAATTGTACACAAGCAGCCTGATTTTTAAAAACTGTCATTTATATATTATCTTGTCTATGCCTGGTGCTTCCAGAGAGTTACTGCTCATCAAATAATACAAACAAAAAAATCCACTGTTAACAGAATATAAGTTGTAAACACAATTACTTCCTTTCCCTGCTCTCTAGTGTTGCATAGTCATACACAGCAGCATTTGTTTTAAGCAGTTTTGTACTTCAGTATAGTTGTACAGATTAAGAAATATCAGAAGCATAATAGAAAGTAAATTAAACAAACAAACAAAAAATATTTCCAAAAATTTCATTTTAAAAAGTTGGCTTGAAACTGGTCTTGGCCATATCTCTAAAATTGCAATTTGAGTATCTTACACATACCTATTTTTATAATACAACCAAGTATCCAAAAGTAAATTCTCAAAAGTACTGAAAGAACCCTGAAGTCCACTCGTTGAATTCTAGGTAAGCTTCAGAAATACTGCACATACTGTTTCTGTAAAGAAACTGTCCTGTAACATCCAGGCACTGGACAGTTCTTAGCTTAGTGAGGAGCTCATCCACAATAGGACAGCTCTTGTGGTTGGGTTGCACAATTCAGCACCCTGCTGCCAGCTGCAATTGTCCACACAGAGCATCCCAAAAAGCATTCTACATTTAACACAAACTGAAAAGAAGCTGCTATTAGTGTAATTGCTCTGCTCATTTATTATTTAAGACCTCTGCTCACTTTTTTTATCTCCACTATGTTCTCTAGAGGCAGAAACTCTACATCTGTTATTGCCATATTTTTCCTTATCACTCTGGTAATGAAAAACTCTTCTAGAAGTACAAAACCTCACTGGGAAAATGTGTGTGGGAACTACAGAGGTAAAGGCTCTTGCTGAGAAGTACATACTAATTCCTCAGTGAGGCCAATTAATGGAACCACGCACTTTCTTCTGCTGCAAAACAGCAGAAGCCTAACTCTTGGCAATAGTACAAAATTGTATAAAAGAGCATAATGAGCCAAAATTGATAAAAACATTTCTTAACGCCATAACCAAGTTAAGATTTTGGAAGGAAAAGAAGTCACTAAAACATATGATTATTTCAAACTCCATATTGCACAATCATTCTGTAAAGAAACAGACAGGTACAGCACTATCTATATAATGGTAACGAGGCATTACCTACATCCCTGATAGTTTCTTCAATTGCTGACACCTCTGAACATTAAAACTTCAATAAAATGAAAACTCCAATAAACTGGAAATTTATTTCAGAGGATATAAACACGCATGTCAGGTTCTAAAAGAAAGAAAGAAAGAAAAAAAGCTCTTTCTGAGGAATATTTTAATCATCTGATCAGAAGCTACCACAATGCATTTGCGAAGCAGCATATGGATAGCATATTCATATTACCAAAGAATTCCCTACTTCTTGGACAAGCAAATAAGCATTCAAAAACGTCCTTTGAGATCTATTTTTAAAGAAAAATAGGAGCTTAAGGCATATCTCTGGATACGGAAACATTTAGCTGTACCCAATATCACCAGATATTAGCCAAAGACTCCTGCTACATCACACGCTGGGGATCCACAATAATCCTAAAGCAAGGGAGTTAGCTGTTGCCAACTCCCTTTTGTGTTTGACAAGTTAACTATGCACACCTGCCTAGCTCGCATTGTTCAAAATATTTACAGAGTTCATAACGTGACTGACACCTTGCACTGCTCTAAGTATACACCTAGTGCTCACTCATTAAAAGCAAGAACTTTCAAATACATGTAGGGATCTACCTAAAATGTACCCTGTACACATGAAGTATGATTTTAGCAGGTTACCCTTTATTCGCATCAAAATGTATTTTCAGCCTACAGCTCTGTTGCACTTCTATCACATGTGGCCTTTCCTACTAATGTCATCCAAAATCTAGGTTTATTAAAAATATTCTCCAAGTGTATCTTTTTTGTTTGCTCTGTGATTTTTGTTTGTTTTTCGTTTGGTTTGTCTTTTTGTACCCCCATTAATGCATATATATTTCACATATCTGACAGATTGCCTGGAAGAGTCCTCGTTGGAAGAATCTAGCTCTTTCCATTGAGATAAGACAGATGCGAAATATTTCTCTATTCTGTATTTAAGCATTTCTGCAGAAGGGAATTGTTCAGTTTTGCTAGTTTGCTCGATCAATTTTTTGTAACATTTAATCAGATCTTCTTTCCTGCAAACAATTTTTTGTCCTTCAAGCTTCACTATGGTCGTGTTTCCTGGTTAAAGAAGTACATGTATACTGTGGAAGCACTCATTTGCTTCTCACCCCTTCTATCTCCCACCTGCACTGCAAGGTCACTCTTCTGCTCTCCACACACACTCCCAATCACTCAATACACCAGTTCAGAACAGTCAGATTATTAACAGGAAGTTGAATCTGTGCTCTCAGTCAAATAGTTAATTTTGCCTGTAATAAATTCAGACCATTTGCATAACTGGTCATTCAACAGATCCACAGGAGTGGTGGAGCCCCAGCAGCAAAGACAAATACTTCTATTGGTAGAAGTGGTTCTTCTCTCTAACTGAAGTCTCTGAGTCTCAGTGTTCATTCCATGTTAAAGCTGGACCATTTTTCCTGCAGAAAAGCCTAGCAGAGGGCCACTAACATGGCTAAGGGGCTGAAACATACCATTGTAGGAGGAGAGGCTGACGCCACTAAGTTTGCTTGGCCTTGGGATGACACAGTTCATAGAGCCATAGTAGGGTTTGAGTTGGAAAGGACCTTAAAGAGCATCTCCTTCCAACGCCCTGCCATGGGCAGGGACACCTCCCACCAGACCAGGTTGCCCACAGCCCCATCCAGCCTGGCCTTGAACACCTCCAGGGATGGGGCATGTTAGGGAAGATTACCTGGGACTATGGGAGCTTTTGTATTTCTAGAGGCACTGGGCACCAGCTATTAAGACAGGAGGTTCCTCCTGATCTTCAGGAGGCACGCCTTTACTGTGCAGGTGAGGGAGCACAGGCACAGGCTGCCCACATCAGCAGTGCAGTCTCCTCCTTGGAGAGCTGCAAAAGCCGCCTGGATGTGGCCCTGGGCAGCAGGCCCTGGGTGGCCCTCCTTGGGCAGGGGTTGGGCCAGGTGGGCTCAACCATTCTGCGATCCCGTGAAAACTTTTTGTACAAAACATACTACAGTAAGAAAGGAATGATGACGTGCACGGTAGGGTGCTTTTTATTTTTCTTTACTCCAACTTAGGCAACAATGCTAACCTTTAGTCAAAGAAATACACAATATTCACTGAACTAAGCCCAAAGGCTTACCATTTCAAGATAAGATTAGTTTTCTGTCATATAGTTAAAATATTAATACAAAAACATATGTAAAAAATTATAAATAGCACCACATTCATTTTTAGGTGTACTTTTTTTTTTTTTCCCCTGAAAGGATTAATTTACCCTAACCAGAAAATGTTTTTACTGTTTATATTATAGAGAACTCAGCATACCCTCATGTCTCTGGGTGACATTACAACACTATGCATTACACCAGTTGGGTGAACATGAGATAAAGTCCTCTGTTCAAAATTAAATGACAAGTGATTACTAAATACAAAGAACTTCCACTCCTTTTGAGCTAATCTTGCCACTTCAGACTCACATCCAAACAAAACTGAAGGAGGATAAGTAGTGCTAACAGAATATATTTCCCAGATCAAAAAAAAAAAAAGGGGGGGGAGGGGGCAAAAATTAATATAGCTGTGATACAGTTGTGATTTTTAAATCCTATTTTACTTACATCTATTTTATTAACAAAAATTAAATGATAAAACAATGCATTTCTTGAAAGCATACAGCATTAGCAATACAGAAAAACTATGTAAGGCTGCCTAGAATTTAGAACAATACAGGAGAAATATTTTCAGGCACATGTGTGATAGTTACCTGAGCTGGAAAGATTTTTTGAATGTTTCATTTGGGCCCAAAGCCATTTTACACAAGAATGTAACCTGACATGAGATGAACTGATCCATTGGCTTCAACCAGTCTGCCAATTTTATGAAATTAAAATGCATGGATAAATGGCTATGTTCCAGACAAGATGAATATTCCACAGGGCTGTGCTTGGCTTATCAAAAACTGGATCTGAAACATCTTAGGAAGATGTCTCAATTTTCTCCAAGAAGAAGACAGGAATGAATCTGGTCCAAAGAAAGAGCCTTTTTAGTATCAAGAAAAAAAGTGAAAGATAGAGGCAATTAATGACTATACACCCTATTTCTGCAGCAATGAATTAGAAGATGACAATGGAATCACATAAAAGCGAAACAGAGGTCAAACAAAGTGGGGGTTGGTGGGGAAAAGACAAGCAAACGTTGATAAAAGAATATATTTCAGCAAAACAAGAGGGTAAACAGCACGCATGATCAGATAAATATATATATATTAATTTCTTAAAAGGGCCACCATAAAAACCTCTAACTGAACAAGACAAAAAGATACACATATATATATCTTTATATATATATGCTCCATTTTTATGTGCTAGTTTAAAAACTAGCTCCAAATTTAAGTGCTAGTCATCTACAATGTTTCAATCAGTACTGCTATTTCAACATAAAAAAACATACTGATTTTACAGTTGAGATTTAATATCTACACATGGACTTTCCTTCCTTGGTCCAACATGACAACATCAGCCACGAGGCAGACATAAAGTATGTGTGCACTCACATAAGCAAAAAGATGTATTGGCAAGTACAAGAGACAGGTGAGAATAAAGTTAAAATAAAAAAAAGAAGTGTACAACAGTCAAACATGCTTGTAAACTCTGTGCTACCCACTTCATTTGAACTGTGGTGTCTTTGATACGTAACAATTTACAGAGGTTAACAAAATATGCAGTAAATAATTATTTAATTCACCATTTGATTTCAGTGGAGACCAAATGAGTCTTCAATTTTTTCTGTAATCAAGTCTTCCCAAAGATGCACAAAAACCATAGTACAATTATTTAGGCAGTATGTTTTCAACTGCAAGTACTAAAATGCAGCTTATCGAAATTCCAAGCAGAATCAGTATGAGCTGCAACGTTATGCAAATTTGAAAGTCAAGACTAGGTATACATAAACGGCATTCTCCCCTGCTTTTTTTTTTTTTTTCTGATTAACTCAATACAGATTCAGATGAAGTGCAACAATCTTGATTGCCCAACAGTGTATGATCACGGAACTCATTTGGGCTAACATTTGTCGTTCAACATTCTCACTTCCATGGGGCGAAGGAGTAGGAGTCTGAAAGATACAAAGAGAAATGGAGCTTTTGTTTTTGTTTGTTTTTTTTTTTTTTTTTCAAAAAAAGAACTGACTATGCTAACGACACAAAGATGGGAAAGTCTTGCCGATATATTCATACACCGTGTATTTGTCATACACTGATACAATGCGTGTTTTGCTGTTATTACAATGGTTTAAATACCTCCAAAATGTTTTGTAGGCAATCATAAGCATTTGTATGCATTCTGCTGTATCAACATCAAAGCATGCAGGTACCATTCAGTTTATTTTTCAATGACCTTTGTGGGTCCCTTCCAGCTGAACTATCCCATTATATTTTGTGACACAGCTACGTTATACACTCTTAAAACTGAACTCTACATGACTGTATTATAACCAAACATACACTCTACAAGCTGAACTCGTTCTGCATTTCCTTTCCTTCTTCCTTAGCAAGTTCAGAGAATAAATCCTAACCATGGTGTTCATGTACTACAAGCAGCACACGTTTTTGATGGCTGAACATTGCTGTATCTTTCAGAATTTCCCTGTGCATTTCCAAGCTTCATTTTTTCCATGGAAACAGTAGACCTTTTACTGCTCTTCCTGAAGATGCTGGTCTGAGTTGGGATTCACTGAATTTGATATGACAAATTTATCACTACTTCATACACATATCCAGATCCTGGCATGACACAGAAGGCACGAGAGCCATTCTGGTATGTTGGGCTTTGTGAGACACTTCTTTTCTACAGCACTGTCTTCTGTAATATTTTATTTATATTCTGTACATAATAGGAATATCTGGCTTTTTTTTTTTTTTTTGAAAGTAATGCACTCTAGAAGGGCAAGGTCACTAGCTGAATTCTAAGCATCAAAACTATACTGCTACTATAAAATACTGACAATCATTTCATAAACACTGTGTTATGTCACATTGCTATACACTAAGACATTTAACACATTACTAGTACATTTTAAAAATGTACCTCACATTCAATGCATCATCCTTACTGAATGTACTTCCTAAGTCATAAAAAAAATATACGGCAAGCTAATAGATTGGTTATGTTTCAATATTTTAAAAGGTAGATGTTTGCAAAAGAAAGAACAACAATAGCAGATGGTGGCCAACATGAATAGAGTCACTCTTGATCACCTGTGCATAACAGAGTTGCATAAAAAGCACAAAGAATGGCAAACAGGGAAGAAGAGATTCTTCACAGAATGGTACTTGTATAATATTGCCTTTCCGGGTATACAGAAGGCATCAGCTTGAGTTAGACTCATAAGCCTATGAAAGCAAACCTGAGGAAAGAAAAAACAAACAAAAAAAAACATGGTTGTAAAGTAGACAAGATCAGAAAATAAACTTCCTAAAAATATCAAAATATCTACAGCAGAAAACTTTTGTTGCAAGAAACATAGAGAAGAAAGAAAAAGGAAAAAGAAAAGAAAAACCCAAAGGGTAAAGAAAAAGTTAAAGGAGAAAGAAGAAGAAAAAAATGAAGAGAGAAAAAGGAAAATAAAACCTTGAAAAAATTAACAGAGAATGTACATGTTCTTTAGGGATGACCCCACAATATAGTGATACAAGCCAGAAGCACACCATGCAGAACGCACTCCACCCTGCTCCCTCTCCAGCATAGATTTGCATCGTGTTGCACTCTGTCCACCAGACTGGGCGGTAGTGGGCTGTCCCAGATCGTTAACACACCAAAAGAGAAGCGCACGAAGCGATTTCTTAAGTCTTCATAGCAAAGCATATGACTATGCCAAATGCATACGTTTTGTGAACGTGTGTGAGATGTTTCTAATTTCAGAGCACAACTGTAGCTGTCTCCTTTCATGCATTTCTAAAATCTGAGAGAACAGAAATTAATCAAGGAAAGGTTTGTATTGAGAGAAGATCAAGAGAAGTAATCTCTAAAAAAAACCACGTAGTTACAACTTTGTACTTGGTGTCTGCCAACCACTGGAAAATACCCAACTTAAAGCCATTCATAAAATTCCAATTGGTTAACGTCTTAAAAAAAAAAAAAAAAAAAAACCAACTATTTTTAATTGGGCAAAATCAGCTGCACATAGTTGTTTGTACACAAATGCCGACACAAATAGTAGACATTGGTCTCGAAGACAGCTCATTTCTATCCCAGGCTTTCTGTTTTTTTGTGCAGTACACAAACTCATTCCCTGAAATGATAGCCAATTAAAGAAATTAAATAGAAATGTATAAAAACTGAGATGCCTAGAAAGCTAAGGACTGTCAGACAAACCCTACCAACTTATGCTAAGTCTGCCTGAAGAGACTTCTCCCAGCGGCCTGTTCCACCAGAATCATATCCTCTGAAAAATTGTCAACAGAGACGAGCATCCCCATGGCCAGTCACTCCAGCCCACACCCTGGCACACGTGGGAAAACAGGTAACTTAAGTTAGTATTCTGGGCAGCAAACAGGGATCTCTGAGCACAGACAACTTTTTTGTATTATGTATTCATTATATTCTTTAAAAGATGAACAAGTATTTCACCATCCCAGACTTTCCCTGCATGCCACTGGCCAGTATCCAAGAGCTATATATTTATATAAAACAACTCCAAATAAAATACACCGCAAAACAAAGCCATGTTTGGGTTCCCTTCACTTTCAATTAAGCATCATTTGCGTCATCCATACATAAAAGCTAACTCAATTGCTTTCAAATGCAGGTGTCATAATTATAACCTACAATTATCTCCACTTAGCATTTAAAGAATTTTAAAAATGAAAAAAAAGAAGTCTGGATAAACAATCTCTTTAATAGTTATGTTTATAACTATTTCTCTTTTAAACTGCCTTCTTCCGAATACAGTTTCATACATTTTTCGTATAATGTAAGACTTATCAGGAAGTCAGTTTTGAACACCAACATCAACAGTAATTTTACTCTCTGAATGTCAGATAATATTTATTCATAGTTTGCATAATTTTGAACTTATTTTTGTTCCAAGCACTTAACACAACTAAGCCTTTTTAAGGCAGGGAAGTGTACTTCCCCAGATGAAAGCAAGACTACAACAAACTAACAGAAGCCTTTGCTACTGTTTAAAGGACTGTAAATGAATCTATACAAATAAGCTTACAGACTTCACTCTGCCTCAAAAGAAAACCTGCATGGGTCCAAATGAGGCTTTGAAGTGAATATTTAATTCAATTAATAACACCTCTTGTCAGAGCAATTGATGCCCTTCCAGTAGCCTCCTCTCCAGCCTGCAAACTCCAGCAGTAATGAGCATAATGAAGGACCTTCTTAACCTACCACAAGGTAGCAGCTGTGGAAGTTGCTTCCCACAATCTGAAGTTACAAGAAAATAACTCCTCCCTTCAGCTCAAATAGGACATGAAACCACCCCAAAAGTCAAGGTTCCCTTCCTTCCCCAAAATACTGGCTCCCACAAAAAAAGAAAGAAAAAAAAAAACATAATTAATCGAAGTTTGTGGAAGAAGCAGTGCTTATTTATGGTAAATGTGCTACAAAGAACATCCTGAGATTCCTCACGAACTCTGATCCTTCATCCACTTGTGATTCCATGAATTACAGTAGTAACCAAATACCTAAATTGTTAACTGAAGTCCAAATACGCACAGATAAACTTTTTACAAGTACCTACCCCTAAATCTCTAAGTTTATAGAACACCCATTGGTGCAAGAGTAAAGTTCCCAATTTTTAATTTCACAAAATCATTTCATGGGCAGTCCCAAGCAACGTGCTGTGCCTGGGCAGGGCTGCCAGTCCTGAAGATGTTTAAGGGTCCCTTCCAACCTCAAGGCCTCTGTGGAGATGCTGAGGGGCTTTACAGAGGTGCACAATCCCACCGGGTATTACTTCCGCTCTGTAGACAGGAGGACGGGGATCTGATTTTCACAAAACGGGACATGTAAGTGACAGGATATGCCTATATGGGATGTGACTAGAGCTGATAAGAGTCTGAATAAGCTGATAGCGCCTGACTGCTTTTAACACACCACAGCTGCCGCTTGTGACCACCACCTCCACGGTGAAGGAACTGCTTTCTTAAGTGTGGAAAAAATCAACCTTCCCTTGCCCGTGCTGCCCCCGGCAACCCTCAGCTTCCCCCGCACGAGGCACTGTGCGGGACAGACCCCCCGGCGGCCCTGGCTACCCCACGAGCGCTGCCCGTGCGCTTCCCCCCGCCGCCACCGGCCCACGACCACAGCCGCTTCTCAACAACCCCTCGGAGCCTTAAGGCGGGCACAGCTCCTTCAGGACGTTGCGCTTCGGAACGGAGTCCTACGAGTGGGACACGGGCACAGGCCGAGAGGGGGGGGGGTGCGGGCGGCGCTAACGGTCACTAACGGTCGCTAACGGCCGCTACCGGCACCAACGGCCGCCGCTTTACCTGCCACGCTCGCGCCGACACCCCGCCGCCCCGGCCGCGGCGCCGTCCGATGACGTCACGCGCCTAGCAACGCCCCTAGCAACGCCGCCCCGCCCCTACGAACACCTCCCCCTCCCCCGCCCCTAAGCAGGGGGTTGTGTATGGACCTCAGCCGGGGGGACACATAAAAGTGTTTTCGCAGCACAGATTATTTCATTCCCGCATTTAGTTTGGCAGGGAATGGTTAAGCTCCGGGAGGAATGCATCACTGGTTAACCGCTGGCACGGTCACCCTGCTTCTCCCCCCACAGCACGCCGCATGCTGGAGCCATCAGCTGGCTCCTGAGGAAGCCAAGGGTGCTTCCAGCTGGCAAATTGTTACGACAATGCTACCAGCAGAAGGAATAGCCGCTGAAAATTCTGTCAGAAATAGGAATAGCCACTAAAAGCATCCAGTAGTTATAAGCACTGAATCATCTTGACAGTCTGGGAATGGTAGGCAGGACACTGCCTCTTAAAACCAAAACCATGGAAGGTCTTTGAAATACCTATTTCAGCTTTGAAATGTTTAGTTTTGTGAGTCTTGACACTTAATATGTTCTCAGCCTGCAGGTGCCAAGCTCCTCAGTGATGCTAACATATGGAATAGGGGAGGAGGGAATGGAAATGCCTCCCTAGCTCGTCTGTGTCAGAAGAATAATTAAATATTCATTAGAATAGGGATTTAAACCTGACTTTGCAATGCAAGTGCCATAACCACAGCTTTGCAAAGTCAGTTTCTTCTCCCCTTTAGCTCCACAAACATTTAATTATTCATGCAAAGTGGAAAAACACTGACAGGAGAAAATGTGAGAGTCTCTCCCAGAATGCCCAATTGTATTTTCTAGTGCATTTTCTAGGGAGGTAGGAGACCTGGTGTCAGAATCTAGCTAATCAGGGAAATTTGCAAACAGATTTCCCTCTCCGCATCATCTTTGGATTCTAGGGAAAGAAATGTAAAGATCATTTTTTGTGCAGATTTGATGTCCCCAGGGGATAAGGCACAGTACTTAGGGAAACCAGGAAAGGAGTTGGAGAATCTTTCTAAGGAGAAGGATCAGGCTCAGTTTTAGGAATATCTACATGGGCAACACAGCACTGAAGCTTGGACCGTGAGAGCAATTTATCTGCCTTACGATGTTTTAATGCCAGGGCTAAATGCCGTGTTTAAATAGCCGAGGCTCCACCATGCATCTATGAAGTGCTGGTTCCAGACCTGGCGTGTGTTTCTGGGTTAAGGACCTTTGAATTAGTTGCAGTGTAAACCTCCTCAAAGTTGCCTTAAAGACTGACTTGCAGAAATGTAGGTAAGGTAGCTGGGAGGTCAAATCAGGAATACATAAGGAATATTGTTGCCAAATTGCCTTTGTGGACCTAGCCATGCAAGCTTACTCAGAGCAGGCCTGATTAACAGGGCTTTTAAAATGTCAAAGCTGTCAGAAATATTCTGACTTGAAGACCATGCAAAAATCAGACTGTATGTCAAAGAGCGTTGTCAAAAGTCTTCTTGATCTCCATCAGGCTCAGTGCCATGACCACTGCCCTGGGCAGCCTGTCCCAGTGCCCAACCCCCCTCTGGGTGCAGACCCTTTCCCTAACCCCCAGCCTGACCCTCCCCTGTCCCAGCTCCATGCCGTTCCCTCGGGTCCTGTCGCTGTCCCCAGAGAGCAGAGCTCAGCGCCTGCCCCTCCGCTCCCCTCGTGAGGGAGCTGCAGGCCGCCATGAGGCCTCCCCTCAGCCTGCTCTGCTCGGGGCTGAGCAAACCAGGGGGCCGCAGCTGCTCCTCATATGTCATCTCCTCTAGGCCCTTTACCATCTCTGTAGCCCTTCTCTGGACGCTAATAGTTTTATGTCCTTTTGTTGTAGCAACCAAAACCGCACACAGTACTTGAGGCCTCACCAGTGAAGAGTAGAGCAGAACAACCAGTTCCCTTGACCACCTAGTAATGCTGTACTTAGACAGATGTTAAAAAATATCTCTGATCCAGTCACAAACCTCTCTTTGAGGATCACAGGCATACCACTCATGCATAGGAGTTTTGGCTAGGACTACCTGCAGTAATCAAGGAAGGTTTGAGACGGAAATCATGTGCCACTTCAGATAGGATTAGTATATGCTTTGAATCCATGTGGAACTTCAGTTAGCAAGAATTCAGTTTGAGGAGATTTTATAAATATAAACAAGAATGAATGACCATGAAAACACTAGACACTTTACTTTGCAAACACTAGAGAAGGAACACTTTTTTGTTGTTGTTGTTGTTGTTGTTGTTTTACATTAGCATTACATGTACAACAGCTTTTGTGTTTTCTTGATTTTCAGTGCACAATCAACATTTCTACTAATGCAACAGTGATGTACAGAGGTTTTGAAATCAGATGCATACATGCATGGAAGCCTTTTCCAGTGACTGAGAGAACACATTGCTGTAGCCTAAAAACAAATCTAGAGCAGGACCTTGTCACGAGCATGGATGAACCAAACTCTCTTGCTCCATATTTACCACAAACCTATTTATTTCGCGAAAGACGAGAACTTCTCTGTCAAATTGCATTTCCTGTTACTGTCCAAATGCCTACACCTCACCCATCTGCAATAAAATATCCAGTTGCTATTGTCAAGTGAACAGTGGATAGTTTGATGTAAACAAATATTGGAGGTTTCCTCTATTTAGACTGAAGCATGAGCAAAGTAGGTACTTGCTTGTGATTCCAACACTGAATCTTATTTGCCATTGAAAACAAAGGCTTAGTGTAAAAGTCCTACTGTAACTTTCACACAATAAAATAGCTAAAGATTTCATAAAGGGGTATTTTTATAACAAGTTACTTGGGCAATATTTCCGTAGTAGTAATATTTTATGCCCTTCATAATCAGGCTTAAGATGTAGGTTCTATATGTCCAAAATTGTGAAAATAACTGCTAAATACTTTTAAAAATATTTTGTCACTTGTGCCAGACTAACTTTGTTTTGGTGTCAAATGTGACACCAGTATCAATTATTTGGGGCAATTTCACAATAATAATGATGGCATATAATTGCTGTGATGAAGAAGCACTTGAAACACAGACAAGAGGCAGAATTCAGTCTGACAAATTGAATCTAGACTGCAGTTCACCACCTATAATTCCAAATCATCCTTCAATTGATCATAAGATGCTGACCACAAAGAATAAAAGAAGGGAGGATTGCATTCTGGAGTGAAAAGTGTTGCCTTTAACTAACGTAGTTAATATACTAAATGCTCTGCCTGTGATCCTTTTGGTAACTGGTATTTTCTCCACACCCTGTGGAGTCTAAAAGGAATAGAGCTTGTGCGTAGTTTCTCCTTTTGGATTACACTACAACATTGTGATATTCAAGAACAGTGAGAGTCTGAAAAAATGACCTCTGTTGATCCACAGAAATCAACACTGCATGTCAGTGTGGCACTTCTTGCAAATTAAGTTCTTCATGTTTGTTGAATATTATATGTGAAGATTGAAGCTGATGCGTTTGATTGAGGGTGTGCCCAGTTGTAGGCAAAGTTTGAAACTGGTTACTGGCTCCTTATAAACTCCTTTCAACATTTGGCTTTCCTTACACTATTAATTATTATGTCTGTGACAGTAATGGCTATAAAAAAAACATTTCAGGTAAGAGCTGTACAAACACAGAGGAAGGCACATCCTGAAAGAGTTTATCATCTAAGGAAAGAGCACATACACACAGTGCAGGGGAAAAGGGCTTTACAGATAGGCAGAGTGAACGGTGCGGTGGCAGCAAGGATCTCCCAGATGCTTCTGGCAGTGGTGATATATAGGTTATAAATATTAAAAGCATTTTGAAAGGAAAGAAAGTTGAGGCTGAGTAAGAAAATGTGGAGGAGGTGGTATAAAAGCAGGTGTGCAGGAAACTGACTTTAAAAGCCTGGGAAGCAGACATGGCCTCAGAGAGTATTACTGTTGATTTTGGTTTTATTGTTCTTGTTGCTTTTGTTATCGTTGTTGTTGTTTTTATGGCTTTCATAGGTCAAGTTTGTGACATTTTGTTTTGTTTTGTTTTGTTTTCCCTCAAGGCCACACATTGTTTAGGAAAAGGAGTTAGCAGAATTGCCACCTGGGTATGCCGCCTGATACTAAAACTAAAGCTTTTTCCAACACAGTTCTGAGTGATGAGTGCACTCTGCTGTGGCTAAGCTTTATCTTCTTAGCTTCTGCAGCTAATGGCCAAAGCTGCTGTCGTGCTTTGTCGTTATTTTGGTTTACATTAAAGGAGAATCCTCTGAAAGTAGTTTCTGAAATCTTCAAAACCATACGTGGAAGCCTGTAAAGAAAACTGGCTATGGAACCATCTTTGGAGAGCCAGTAGAGGAAAAATTATACCTTGCCTGGTAATCTTTCCTTGGTTGCACATCTTAAAATAATAAAAGGCTGTTTTAAAATGCATCACAGAAGATAAAAATGAACCTCAGATGCTGTGTTCTGCCTTAGCTAGGCACATACAACATTTCAGCTTCTGAATTTCCAGAGATAACTCCCATGTGATACCTTTTGAGAACAGACGTAAAATAAAAATACACATGTAATCTTAGGATAAAATGTTATGTAGATTCAGTGACTATTGCAAGCAGATCAGCACTTAAGAATTAGCTATTAATACAATTGCTAAAGAAAAATTTTCTCCTACTTTTTGGAGAGTTTTACTCTCACATCTCACATCAGTGTTGCGAACTAATTTAACCTGCTTTTCCCTGAAACAGTTATTTATTTTATCCAGTCTATTTGAGCTGCAGTAGTTCTCATCCCATACACATGAACATCAGTGGTTGTCTTAATTTGCTGTCAAGGTTGGAGACCAGTTTGACCTGATGAAATCCTAATACAGGCACTCTAATTTGGGATAAAGAGACTGAAAAGTCTCACTTTCAGGAAACCCTTCTCAACTGAT